TAGAAAGGATGACCGTGGAAAAGTCATCAGTTATTATAAATGATAAGGAATTTATGAAACCAAAAAGGGACTTGTTTGTATGACATGAACTCATCTACACTGTCCTATTGATGTGGAATGATACTAGTTTACTTCCCTTGATCTTTACAACTAAGAATTATCATTTGATTGCTGCTGAGATTGGTTATGCTGTTAGTCATTGTAGGATCACCAGAGCTTTTATATCATTTTCCTGTCTTTTCTTAATTGCATATGAAGCGGAGAACAAGAATATATCTCCTTTCACCTTTCATCTCAATTGTTTTCTGTGAATCATTATTCATGATGCTAGGACTGGCATACTGCATCATTCAGGTCTTTTGTTGGCAAGTCTATAGCAAGTCTTTCATTCTTGTTTTGTGAAATGAAAGTTTTTGAGTATGTGGCTTTCTTTTCTTTGAAATACTTGTCAGTAGCTTAGATATGAATTTTGTATGTTTGAAACTTTTTTGTTTTTGTTAGACATGATACTAACTCTACTTTTTGCATGATGTAGACTTTTTTTTATATCTGTGGGTCTAGGACTTGGAGGAACAGATGCACCTCAAGTTAGATCACGGAAAAGTATGAGCAATGAGAGAACATTTTCTGCAACTAAGGATGAGGCATTCTTCTATCAGAWATTAGGTGAGATATGAGAGTTCCCCATWCTGTATGATGCAGATTCTATTAGATTATCCTACATTATGGAACTTTTTTAGTTTGCCTGACTAATCATGAAAGGTCTTTTCATTTGTATCCTATCTCAGAGTAATATTAGTAATAGAAGAAAAAAAGTTGGCAAAACAGAAGACATACAATAAATTGTTTCTTCATTYATGTTGTAAGACCTTGGTATTGAGGTCTTTTATGTATTGTCTATATTTGAGAAATCTGATCTTTATCTACCTTTGACTCTAGCTCATTACAACAAATGACCATATTACTTTATGGTAACGCAGAACTCTCATATGTAATTCCTTTTTTTGAAGTACATAATATTTATATACAGCAAATTAACAAATAAATTTCTACTCACTAGTTTATATGGTATACCTTATTATGATTATAGTGTAAAATTAGGTTTATATTCTATTTTCAATTGTGGATACTTCTCTGCGTTGTTTTTATCTATTTGTACATTTTCTAAGGCAAGTGTATGAACAATGGTTGTGCTTGGTTTTCTCAGGCCAAAGCCATCTCAAGAGTGAAAAAGATATCAAGTTGGGGGATTGAAAAGCAACAGAGACTGAAAATTTGGAATATTGTGCTAACTCAGCTTATGTGGAGATGGTTCTTTTGTATGTTTTGATACATTTGTATATGAGATGCTGTCATGTACCCCCTGAACCATAGAAAACATAATCTATTAAGTATTTAAATATGGAATACCTGATTATTTATATATTTTACATTGTTACATATTGTTGGTGACCTTTATGTAGTTTAATTCCTCTAATCAAGTTCAAATGATTCTTATATATATCAGGTAAGTGAAGGACTAGATTTTGCAGACCATGCTGGTAGAGTTGTTATTGTCACTGCATTCCATTTGCTCTSAGGAACAATCCTAAGGTATTCTTATGTTGTTGCCTTTCTAAGGTTACCCAATGAGATCACTTAATTTGGGTGTCGGTACGCATTTGACATCAAGATATTCTAGTTGGATTATGGATGAAAACTTTTATTATATGCAACATCTATTATATCCTGAAATGCACTGTGATGAGTACATTTTATGAACTACCTATTTTCCAATCCATTAATGAAATGTCAATATTCAGTCACATTTGCAGTGTTTAATAAATATTTATTTCCACTTATTTMTGATGCATGTTTTCTTCTCATTTTGTTAATTTTTTCATATATTTGTGAATTTGATTCTTTGAGTAGGTGTTTCTAGATGCTTTACATTATTTTGCTTTATGACAAGTCCATCTGRAACACAAGTTTTTGGATCARCAGCTGTCTCAACRTAAAGGATCCAAGGTAATTTTGATATAAAGTAGCAAACCCACTTAAATTTATCGTTCCATTAGGTGATTTATGGTCTTTGTGCTTAAATTCTGTTTTTAAAGTGATTTGATATCTGTTTTACGATATTCTTCAGAGATAACTTTTCGCTCAAATCAGTCTTTGCTGAATCTCTCATCTCATAGATTGCTCTAACAAGTAACCAACCAATTTCTGTTTTTAAAGTGATATTGGTTGCTCTTCAGAGATAACTTGTTCGCTCAATTCTTTAGATAATATC